TTGATTTGGTTGCGAGTGCAGTGCGCTTGCAGAGAGACTCCGCCCACACACTCTTCTGATTGGCTGTGATTTTGGAATGATTTGGTTGCGAGTGCAGTGCGCTTGCAGAGAGACTCCGCCCACACACTCTTCTGATTGGCTGTGATTTTGGAATGATTTGGTTGCGAGTGCAGTGCGCTTGCAGAGAGACTCCGCCCACACGCTCTTCTGATTGGCTGTGATTTTGGGTTGGTTTAGTTGTGAGTGCAGTGCGCTTACAGAGAGACTCCACCCACACGCTCTTCTGATTGGCTGTGATTTTGGATTGATTTGGTTGTGAGTGCAGTGAGTTTGCAGAGAGACTCCGCCCACACATTCTGATTGGCTGTGATTTTAGATTGATTTGGTTGTGAGTGCAGTGCGCTTACAGAGAGACTCCGCCCACACACTCTTCTGATTGGCTGTGATTTTGGATTGATTTGGTTGCGAGTGCAGTGCGCTTACAGAGAGACTCCGCCCACACGCTCTTCTGATTGGCTGTGATTTTGGATTGATTTGGTTGTGAGTGCAGTGCGGTTGCAGAGAGACTCCGCCCACACACTCTTCTGATTGGCTGTGATTTTGGATTGATTTGGTTGCGAGTGCAGTGCGCTTGCAGAGAGACTGCGCCCACACACTCTTCTGATTGGCTGTGATTTTGGACTGATTTGGTTGTGAGTGCAGTGCGCTTACAGAAAGACTCCGCCCACACTCTCTTCTGATTGGCTGTGATTTTGGACTGATTTGGTTGTGAGTGCAGTGCGCTTACAGAGAGACTCCGCCCACACGCTCTTCTGATTGGCTGTGATTTTGGATTGATTTGGTTGCGAGTGCAGTGCGCTTGCAGAGAGACTCCGCCCACACACTCTTCTGATTGGCTGTGATTTTGGATTGATTTGGTTGCGAGTGCAGTGCGCTTGCAGAGAGACTCTGCCCACACACTCTTCTGATTGGCAGTGATTTTGGACTGATTTGGTTGTGAGTGCAGTGCGCTTGCAGAGAGACTCCGCCCACACACTCTTCTGATTGTCTGTGATTTTGGACTGATTTGGTTGTGAGTGCAGTGCGCTTACAGAAAGACTCCGCCCACACTCTCTTCTGATTGGCTGTGATTTTGGACTGATTTGGTTGTGAGTGCAGTGCGCTTGCAGAGAGACTCCGCCCACACGCTCTTCTGATTGGCTGTGATTTTGGACTGTTTTTGTTGTGAGTGCAGTGCGCTTGCAGAGAGACTCCGCCCACACGCTCTTCTGATTGGCTGTGATTTTGGATTGGTTTGGTTGCGAGTGCAGTGCGTTTGCAGAGAGACTCCGCCCACACACTCTTCTGATTGGCTGTGATTTTGGATTGATTTGGTTGCGAGTGCAGTGCGTTTGCAGAGAGACTCCGCCCACACGCTCTTCTGATTGGCTGTGATTTTGGACTGATTTGGTTGTGAGTGCAGTGCGCTTGCAGAGAGACTCCGCCCACACGCTCTTCTGATTGGCTGTATTGATTTTGGATTGATTTGGTTGTGAGTGCAGTGTGCTTGCAGAGAGACTCCGCCCACACTCTCTTCTGATTGGCTGTGATTTTGGATTGATTTGGTTGCGAGTGCAGTGCGCTTGCAGAGAGACTCCGCCCACACTCTCTTCTGATTGGCTGTGATTTTGGTTTGATTTGGTTGTGAGTGCAGTGCGCTTGCAGAGAGACTCCGCCCACACGCTCTTCTGATTGGCTGTGATTTTGGATTGGTTTGGTTGTGAGTGCAGTGCGCTTACAGAGAGACTCCGCCCACACGCTCTTCTGATTGGCTGTGATTTTGGATTGATTTGGTTGTGAGTGCAGTGCGCTTGCAGAGAGACTCCGCCCACACACTCTTCTGATTGGCTGTGATTTTGGATTGATTTGGTTGTGAGTGCAGTGAGTTTGCAGAGAGACTCCGCCCACACATTCTGATTGGCTGTGATTTTAGATTGATTTGGTTGTGAGTGCAGTGCGCTTACAGAGAGACTCCGCCCACACACTCTTCTGATTGGCTGTGATTTTGGATTGATTTGGTTGCGAGTGCAGTGCGCTTACAGAGAGACTCCGCCCACACGCTCTTCTGATTGGCTGTGATTTTGGATTGATTTGGTTGTGAGTGCAGTGCGCTTGCAGAGAGACTCCGCCCACACACTCTTCTGATTGGCTGTGATTTTGGATTGGTTTGGTTGTGAGTGCAGTGCTCTTGCAGAGAGACTCCGCCCACACACTCTTCTGATTGGCTGTGATTTTGGAATGATTTGGTTGCGAGTGCAGTGCGCTTGCAGAGAGACTCCGCCCACACACTCTTCTGATTGGCTGTGATTTTGGATTGATTTGGTTGCGAGTGCAGTGCGTTTGCAGAGAGACTCCGCCCACACGCTCTTCTGATTGGCTGTGATTTTGGACTGATTTGGTTGTGAGTGCAGTGCGCTTGCAGAGAGACTCCGCCCACACGCTCTTCTGATTGGCTGTATTGATTTTGGATTGATTTGGTTGTGAGTGCAGTGTGCTTGCAGAGAGACTCCGCCCACACTCTCTTCTGATTGGCTGTGATTTTGGTTTGATTTGGTTGTGAGTGCAGTGCGCTTGCAGAGAGACTCCGCCCACACTCTCTTCTGATTGGCTGTGATTTTGGTTTGATTTGGTTGTGAGTGCAGTGCGCTTGCAGAGAGACTCCGCCCACACGCTCTTCTGATTGGCTGTATTGATTTTGGATTGATTTGGTTGTGAGTGCAGTGTGCTTGCAGAGAGACTCCGCCCACACTCTCTTCTGATTGGCTGTGATTTTGGTTTGATTTGGTTGTGAGTGCAGTGCGCTTGCAGAGAGACTCCGCCCACACTCTCTTCTGATTGGCTGTGATTTTGGTTTGATTTGGTTGTGAGTGCAGTGCGCTTGCAGAGAGACTCCGCCCACACGCTCTTCTGATTGGCTGTGATTTTGGATTGGTTTGGTTGTGAGTGCAGTGCGCTTACAGAGAGACTCCGCCCACACTCTCTTCTGATTGGCTGTGATTTTGGATTGATTTGGTTGTGAGTGCAGCTTGCAGAGAGACTCCGCCCACACGCTCTTCTGATTGGCTGTGATTTTGGATTGATTTGGTTGTGAGTGCAGTGAGTTTGCAGAGAGACTCCGCCCACACACTCTTCTGATTGGCTGTGATTTTGGATTGATTTGGTTGTGAGTGCAGTGAGTTTGCAGAGAGACTCCGCCCACACACTCTTCTGATTGGCTGTGATTTTGGATTGATTTGGTTGTGAGTGCAGTGCGCTTGCAGAGAGACTCCGCCCACACACTCTTCTGATTGGCTGTGATTTTGGATTGATTTGGTTGTGAGTGCAGTGAGTTTGCAGAGAGACTCCGCCCACACATTCTGATTGGCTGTGATTTTAGATTGATTTGGTTGTGAGTGCAGTGCGCTTACAGAGAGACTCCGCCCACACGCTCTTCTGATTGGCTGTGATTTTGGATTGATTTGGTTGCGAGTGCAGTGCGCTTACAGAGAGACTCCGCCCACACGCTCTTCTGATTGGCTGTGATTTTGGATTGATTTGGTTGTGAGTGCAGTGCGCTTGCAGAGAGACTCCGCCCACACACTCTTCTGATTGGCTGTGATTTTGGATTGGTTTGGTTGTGAGTGCAGTGCTCTTGCAGAGAGACTCCGCCCACACACTCTTCTGATTGGCTGTATTGATTTTGGAATGATTTGGTTGCGAGTGCAGTGCGCTTGCAGAGAGACTCCGCCCACACACTCTTCTGATTGGCTGTTATTTTGGAATGATTTGGTTGCGAGTGCAGTGCGCTTGCAGAGAGACTCCGCCCACACGCTCTTCTGATTGGCTGTGATTTTGGATTGGTTTAGTTGTGAGTGCAGTGCGCTTACAGAGAGACTCCGCCCACACGCTCTTCTGATTGGCTGTGATTTTGGACTGATTTGGTTGTGAGTGCAGTGCGCTTACAGAGAGACTCCGCCCACACACTCTTCTGATTGGCAGTGATTTTGGACTGATTTGGTTGTGAGTGCAGTGCGCTTGCAGAGAGACTCCGCCCACACACTCTTCTGATTGGCTGTGATTTTGAGTAGGGTATAAACGGAGGTCGGAGCCAGCTGCAAATGGGTGGGTTAGCAGCAAGTAGGTGGAGCTTTAGCCGCAAGTGGGCTGTACAAACTTCCAGAGGATTTTGATTGGTTTATTTAGTATCACCTGTGTGTTGTAGTAGCTATTGGTTTATGCTCCACGGTTGGTGGCGGTAATGTGTAAGTTTTGTTGCGATCCATTAGAAAACAAAGAAGAAAATGTCAGCGTTCACAATCACATGTCAGCGTGCCGTTGAGATGAAGTAAGCTTGTTGTACAGTTTTTTAGTTTTATAAAAAAGCATTATAAGTTCTGAAAAAGACCATTTCATTATGGCGTTTGTACACTGTTTAGTCTTGATGTATTAAAAAAGAATAAGGGTAAAGTGTATCCAAATAAATTTCTGTAGGTTTTTTAGTAGCACACAAATTACAAAATCTGTAACGTGCATGATTTCTACAATTTGCTCTCCAGATTATGGATTCTGAAGACCATAATAAGGTATTGTGGCAGTGTAATTTTTGTACGTTTTAGGACTGCATTGATTTTCAAATTGTAAATGTCTTAAACGTTTTGTAAATGGATTTGATATTAGAATACAACTTCTAACTTAATTGTACAATGCATGCAATTCTTTTAAAACTTGTTATCATTCTAGTTATGCTTTTTTTTCTCTGTAATCCACAATGTAATGTAATGTAATTGAAACATTTGTTTTAATATCATAATTATTTTATAAAATGTATTACTCATATCAATCAGTGAAAAAAAAATGTGAAACGCATGTTATTGTGTTTTAGGTTCACTTATCAGTGAAAGATGAGCAGGACACTCTTGAGGCGTACCAGTGCCTCAAGTGCACACAGTTTCACTGCCTGCTTTGTCCTAAGGACAATATCAAATTTGATGAGAACTTCCAGGCAACAGGCCACCTTCAGTCCCATTTATCTTGGGTGGTAGTACATGGGTGTAAGTTGACCAAAATATTATTGTTATATTCACTATGAATAGGAGATCGTATCCAATCGTAATCAATTGCTGTTACCCATTTAACTTTTTTTGTGTTTCTTTGCATATTATAGTATGCACTGTATGTTGTTCTGGGACAGAAGTTTGACTTCACTGAAGTAAGTATTTATTTTTTTGTAGCTACATGCATTTTAATATAATTGAAAATTATACTAATTCATTACTTTATGTACACAGCTAAACATGAAGAACATAAGAAAATGGTGGTGTGCCATCTTGCTTGAAAGTTTTTTTTAGAGTAAGTGTGAAAAAATTAGCTGTACTTTTAACACGTGGTGTTTTTAAGAATCCCTTAAAGAAGTGAAGAAATCTTGTTCACTCTGTAAACTGTTTTGGGAAGTCATGGAACGGAATGATTTAGTGACTCGCTCATAACACTACTTTTACTTTCAGTAAAAATATATTCTGCAGACCCTTTGAGTGAAAAGGAGTAGCAAAGTGTTTCAGTGATGATGAAAATCAGCAGGTGTAAACACTACTTGTACTTGCTCTATCAAACTCCTTTAATATCTGTTCTTAATACTATTAGGGGTTGGCAAGATTTTGAAATGTTGTTGTATTCATTGGTGAATACGTTTAAAAAAAAAAAAATTATATTGGACCATTAATTAGATTTTTTTTTTTTTTGTATTTACAAAAGTCTTTACTGTAATTTCATTTGTGATCAATGTAATGCATCCTTGCATTCAATTAATTTTGATATTGTACTTGTTCTATTGCTTACTTTATTTGTTTTTGTTGCATGACAAACAAATTGTGGAAGACATGGGAGAAAGAGAAAACGAGCTGTTGTAGCTGGTATTGTCAGCTTTTTATATTTTGCTGATATTATTTTGTCAAATTAAAAATTAATGGATAATTTTTATCACTTTTTTTAAATTCTAATCCTCTTTCAGAAGAAGAAAAATGCACTGCACTCCCTGAAACCTATGGGAAGAAAAAAACTGAACTTGCATATGAAAGTAAGAACTTTGATATGAAACAAAGTACATATACTATGCTGGGTTTCAAATTATGTAACTATAATATTGGTCAGCTAATTTTAAATTACTTCATTTTAGCAGACCAAACCCCAGTTGTGCCCTCTGTTTTTAGCAAGGTATCCATAATCATTTTAATGATGATTTAAAATGTGTATCATAGAACGATTTTAATCCACTTATATTTTTCTTTAAGGATGAGCTGTTAAAAGACGATGACCCTCCATCATGCTGCATCTTCAAGGTAGTTGAATAATGTTATATAATGTGCTTTTTTAATAAAAAATTAACGGCCTGTGCTAACTGTTGCTATCTTTTCAGTTATCAGGAGCGTTGCTGAAGAACATACTACTTGAAGTTGTTCTTCAATAAGAAGATGCTGCCTACATGCCCCTGTCATTGGCTTGCTCAAGGTTCAGAATCAGGCACACTTCTTATGGCTAGAATGTAAATATTGACATTAAAAAATAAAACGCATAACAAGAACATCATTGATAATGTTAAATGTTATGTTCATTTTTTTCAGCTCAGGTGTTGCATGCCGGAAAAATAAGTCATCTCACTACAAACAGCTCTTCTGGAGGATGTACTCAATCTCCACTTGTTTGGAGTGTGGGTTTGAGTACAAATGCTGCACACCTGGTACGTTTTGTGTAAATTGGTGATGAATAAACTAGTTGTTAGTCTAAAGGAAAACTAAAAATCTAATTTACTTATGTCATCCCTTGGAGTTTAAAAGTTCTGGACACCATTCACTTGCATGGCATGGAGCTACAGAGCTGAGAAATTATTCGTAATGTTTGTAAATGTTCAATGTCAACTATAAACCCTAGTTCTTATTGTGCTTCTTGTGTATCCACCAGGTTATGCTGGGAAGGGAAAGCAAGGCGAGCTCAAGGGCATTTATTCAGAAACCTTCCACCCTGGATTTTGCCGTTTTCACTGCATGCAGATCAGTTCTAATGAGCTGATATAGTGTACTTACAAATAAAAAATAAAAAAAAGACTAAAAATAATAAAATAAAATAAACACTTTTGCAATCAATTCTGAGTGACTTGTACATGATTTTATTCATTGAAAAAAATAGTTTATCCACCCTGAGATTTAAATGTAATATATGTGTAAAACGTTCAGAAGAACATTAGTCTGTATTTAAAAAAATAAAAATGCAGTAAAAATGGATGGTAACCTTTTTTTTTTTTTTTTACATTAGCGAAATGTTTTTCATGTATTTACACATTCACTTCACTGAGTCCAATTGCATCACATTTTAATGTTAATTTACTTGATACTGTAGAATATGTAGCTAATATTCAGAAATATGCTTGAAATAAGGCCTACAGCCTGATGAATTTAAAACACCATCACTTTAAGTATGGTAAAAAAGGTGTAAAGACGTGACTTCATCATTGACAGTGAGTGGTATTGGACACACACAATAATAACAAAGCTGTAAGAAATCAGACCATGATGAGGAACGTAATATTTGATCGTTTATTTTCATTACTGTCGCTACTTCCTGCCATACTCATTCACCGCCGTCCTCGGCAATGACAGCTTGGGGATTTCCGCATAAGCTCCTCCCACTTGCGGCGTAAACTCCTCCTACTTGCACATTCGTGAAATCCCTCCTACTTGCGGCATAAGCTCCTCCCACTTGCGGCGTAAGCTCCTCCCACCTGCAGGTCTCCGGGCTGCAGCGATACATACATGGTGATTTTGGACTGATTTGGTTGTGAGTGCAGTGCGCTTACAGAAAGACTCCGCCCACACTCTCTTCTGATTGGCTGTGATTTTGGACTGATTTGGTTGTGAGTGCAGTGCGCTTACAGAGAGACTCCGCCCACACACTCTTCTGATTGGCTGTGATTTTGGATTGATTTGGTTGCGAGTGCAGTGCGTTTGCAGAGAGACTCCGCCCACACACTCTTCTGATTGGCTGTGATTTTGGATTGATTTGGTTGCGAGTGCAGTGCGTTTGCAGAGAGACTCCGCCCACACGCTCTTCTGATTGGCTGTGATTTTGTACTGATTTGGTTGTGAGTGCAGTGCGCTTGCAGAGAGACTCCGCCCACACGCTCTTCTGATTGGCTGTATTGATTTTGGATTGATTTGGTTGTGAGTGCAGTGTGCTTGCAGAGAGACTCCGCCCACACTCTCTTCTGATTGGCTGTGATTTTGGATTGATTTGGTTGCGAGTGCAGTGCGCTTGCAGAGAGACTCCGCCCACACTCTCTTCTGATTGGCTGTGATTTTGGTTTGATTTGGTTGTGAGTGCAGTGCGCTTGCAGAGAGACTCCGCCCACACGCTCTTCTGATTGGCTGTGATTTTGGATTGGTTTGGTTGTGAGTATAGTGCGCTTACAGAGAGACTCCGCCCACACGCTCTTCTGATTGGCTGTGATTTTGGATTGATTTGGTTGTGAGTGCAGTGCGCTTGCAGAGAGACTCCGCCCACACTATCTTCTGATTGGCTGTGATTTTGGATTGATTTGGTTGTGAGTGCAGTGAGTTTGCAGAGAGACTCCGCCCACACATTCTGATTGGCTGTGATTTTAGATTGATTTGGTTGTGAGTGCAGTGCGCTTACAGAGAGACTCCGCCCACACACTCTTCTGATTGGCTGTGATTTTGGATTGATTTGGTTGCGAGTGCAGTGCGCTTACAGAGAGACTCCGCCCACACGCTCTTCTGATTGGCTGTGATTTTGGATTGATTTGGTTGTGAGTGCAGTGCGCTTGCAGAGAGACTCCGCCCACACACTCTTCTGATTGGCTGTGATTTTGGATTGGTTTGGTTGTGAGTGCAGTGCTCTTGCAGAGAGACTCCGCCCACACACTCTTCTGATTGGCTGTGATTTTGGAATGATTTGGTTGCGAGTGCAGTGCGCTTGCAGAGAGACTCCGCCCACACACTCTTCTGATTGGCTGTTATTTTGGAATGATTTGGTTGCGAGTGCAGTGCGCTTGCAGAGAGACTCCGCCCACACGCTCTTCTGATTGGCTGTGATTTTGGATTGGTTTAGTTGTGAGTGCAGTGCGCTTACAGAGAGACTCCGCCCACACGCTCTTCTGATTGGCTGTGATTTTGGACTGATTTGGTTGTGAGTGCAGTGCGCTTACAGAGAGACTCCGCCCACACACTCTTCTGATTGGCAGTGATTTTGGACTGATTTGGTTGTGAGTGCAGTGCGCTTGCAGAGAGACTCCGCCCACACACTCTTCTGATTGGCTGTGATTTTGGACTGATTTGGTTGTGAGTGCAGTGCGCTTACAGAAAGACTCCGCCCACACTCTCTTCTGATTGGCTGTGATTTTGGACTGATTTGGTTGTGAGTGCAGTGCGCTTACAGAGAGACTCCGCCCACACACTCTTCTGATTGGCTGTGATTTTGGATTGGTTTAGTTGTGAGTGCAGTGCGCTTACAGAGAGACTCCGCCCACACGCTCTTCTGATTGGCTGTGATTTTGGATTGGTTTAGTTGTGAGTGCAGTGCGCTTGCAGAGAGACTCCGCCCACACGCTCTTCTGATTGGCTGTGATTTTGGATTGGTTTAGTTGTGAGTGCAGTGCGCTTACAGAGAGACTCCGCCCACACGCTCTTCTGATTGGCTGTGATTTTGGACTGATTTGGTTGTGAGTGCAGTGCGCTTACAGAGAGACTCCGCCCACACACTCTTCTGATTGGCAGTGATTTTGGACTGATTTGGTTGTGAGTGCAGTGCGCTTGCAGAGAGACTCCGCCCACACACTCTTCTGATTGGCTGTGATTTTGGACTGATTTGGTTGTGAGTGCAGTGCGCTTACAGAAAGACTCCGCCCACACTCTCTTCTGATTGGCTGTGATTTTGGACTGATTTGGTTGTGAGTGCAGTGCGCTTACAGAGAGACTCCGCCCACACACTCTTCTGATTGGCTGTGATTTTGGATTGATTTGGTTGTGAGTGCAGTGCGCTTGCAGAGAGACTCCGTCCACACGCTCTTCTGATTGGCTGTGATTTTGGATTGATTTGGTTGCGAGTGCAGTGCGTTTGCAGAGAGACTCCGCCCACACACTCTTCTGATTGGCTGTGATTTTGGATTGATTTGGTTGCGAGTGCAGTGCGTTTGCAGAGAGACTCCGCCCACACGCTCTTCTGATTGGCTGTGATTTTGTACTGATTTGGTTGTGAGTGCAGTGCGCTTGCAGAGAGACTCCGCCCACACGCTCTTCTGATTGGCTGTATTGATTTTGGATTGATTTGGTTGTGAGTGCAGTGTGCTTGCAGAGAGACTCCGCCCACACTCTCTTCTGATTGGCTGTGATTTTGGATTGATTTGGTTGCGAGTGCAGTGCGCTTGCAGAGAGACTCCGCCCACACTCTCTTCTGATTGGCTGTGATTTTGGTTTGATTTGGTTGTGAGTGCAGTGCGCTTGCAGAGAGACTCCGCCCACACGCTCTTCTGATTGGCTGTGATTTTGGATTGGTTTGGTTGTGAGTATAGTGCGCTTACAGAGAGACTCCGCCCACACGCTCTTCTGATTGGCTGTGATTTTGGATTGATTTGGTTGTGAGTGCAGTGCGCTTGCAGAGAGACTCCGCCCACACTATCTTCTGATTGGCTGTGATTTTGGATTGATTTGGTTGTGAGTGCAGTGAGTTTGCAGAGAGACTCCGCCCACACATTCTGATTGGCTGTGATTTTAGATTGATTTGGTTGTGAGTGCAGTGCGCTTACAGAGAGACTCCGCCCACACACTCTTCTGATTGGCTGTGATTTTGGATTGATTTGGTTGCGAGTGCAGTGCGCTTACAGAGAGACTCCGCCCACACGCTCTTCTGATTGGCTGTGATTTTGGATTGATTTGGTTGTGAGTGCAGTGCGCTTGCAGAGAGACTCCGCCCACACACTCTTCTGATTGGCTGTGATTTTGGATTGGTTTGGTTGTGAGTGCAGTGCGCTTACAGAAAGACTCCGCCCACACTCTCTTCTGATTGGCTGTGATTTTGGACTGATTTGGTTGTGAGTGCAGTGCGCTTACAGAGAGACTCCGTCCACACACTCTTCTGATTGGCTGTGATTTTGGATTGATTTGGTTGTGAGTGCAGTGCGCTTACAGAGAGACTCCGCCCACACGCTCTTCTGATTGGCTGTGATTTTGGATTGGTTTGGTTGTGAGTGCAGTGCGGTTGCAGAGAGACTCCGCCCACACGCTCTGCTGATTGGCTGTGATTTTGGACTGATTTGGTTGT